GACCTCCTTGTATCCATGATGTGTAGAGGTTGTCACTTTTGTATATTATGAAAGGTGGCAACAATGTACCATCAGCAGATCCACACATCATCATCGTGACACAGCTCTTGCTCATATTAATAACCCGGTCAGGATACTTGACACCTCTGCGATATAAGAATTTTGAGGCGCTGGTATTGTCTGCTAGGTTTGTCTCATCGTAATTAAAGATATGACTGGGAGGAATGCCCTGGAGCTCGATTGTTAACCTTTCATGGTAATCCCTCAACTCTGCCTCCCCACAGATGCTCTGCTCCTTTTAATATCATTGGATACTCTCTTGCTGATCTCACTATGCCGCTTAATGAAGGACAGGGCCCAGTCTGGGCCTGGCAAATTCATAGAAAACATGGGAACAGTGCGCCCTTCTGAATCAAGGTAGCTTTTGACTATGATGCGTAAGTCCATTGGTTGGAGAGGGAAGCCATAGTCACTGCACTGAAGTGTCCTCTTCACTATAAGGGCCTCCTCTACCTGTGAGAGAATAGTCTGTCGTCCAGGACTAAGCACAGTTTTTCCATGCACTCTGTTGAAAAGAGCACCCTTGCCGATGCCATACTGCTTTGCAGCTTTTGTCAAACTTAATTCCTTGTCTTTGATCTTCTGCACTACTTGATCAACAAGATCTCCTTTGTAATTCTGGTAGGTACGAGCCCCCTTTGGACGTTTGTAGGTCCTAGGCATCTTGAACTAAGGTCAATACTTATAAGTTTAAACTCTATATCTAACAATAATTAGAGTCTGTAGAGTCTGAAACATAAAGAAAATACATTAATAGGTGTATCAGACATAAAATATGTTATTTATGGTCATTTCAAATTAATTATACACCCGGTCCATGTTACCCCGTCATGGCTGACATTAGGTGGTCAAAGTTACCCCATTGGGGGGCGGCGCCCCCCATTTGCAAACTATGACACTTTTCTCAAATTTGTCTTTGCATATGTAACTAGAAGAGTTCTACTACAATGCATTAAAACCTGGAGTTATTTTGCCAAAAAATAAAGGAATTGGAGGGGGTACTCTGAAAGGCTTTAAAAAATAGCTTTTTTTCGTTGGTCACATTTTAATTTTTTGAACCTATTAGATATGCAAACTTTTTAAATCTTTCTATTGTGTTACATAGCCTCAGTATTAGGTCTTTAATGCCCATTGACAAAATTTTTCTCTGTCAAATGGTTTTTGAGTTTTGGGGGTTTTTGTTAAAAAAACCAAAAGTGGTCAAAGTTACCCCATTGGGGGGCGGCGCCCCCCATTTGCAAACTATGACACTTTTCTCAAATTTGTCATTTGCATATGTAACTAGAAGAGTTCTACTACAATGCATCAAAACCTGGAGTTATTTTGCCAAAAAATAAAAGAATTGGAGGGGGTACTCTGACAGGCTTTAAAAAATAGCTTTTTTTCGTTGGTCACATTTTAATTTTTTTAACCTATTAGATATGCAAACTTTTTAAATCTTTCTATTGTGTTACGTAGCCTCAGTATTAGGTCTTTAATGCCCAAGTACGTATCGATGATACACAGCGTCAGCGCCTGCTCGTCTATAACGTGAGCGCCCGCACGTCATACTATATACATATATACTATATATATACTTTACTCAATTAAACTAATTTCGGTCTCTAATTACTAGTTTTTATGATTGTATCTGAAATTGTTAGGCGAAAATAGCCTGCATGCCGAATTTCAGATCTCTAGAACAATCAAAAGTGGGCTAATTTTCGTTGTCAATGTTAACAACAAACAAACAAACAAACGCAAAGCTAAGCTAAGAAAAACGTGTTAAAAAAATTTGAACAGGCAATGATCAGTAATCACGATATACATGATACAGCAAGTGGACATTGCGTGGGATAAAGTTAGCACTTAGCAGCCACTTTAGCACTAGTCTTTGTACTGATAAGAGAGTGATTACACCATCTTAACTCCTCAACACGAATGACGAAAATTGACTCGGAGGTCGTAGCTATTATAGAATTTGACAAGTCAATTTGATAATTTTTATTAAGAGTGAAATTACGTGACAGTGATTGGTGAAGATGTGAACTTCCACGAAGTATGGATTGCTTCACTAAAGTCTTAACATAGTTGAATATATTAATACGGACAGACTTGTGTATGCAAAAATTTCATAATTCCACGCAGCATTTAAAAATCGGGAATTTTTACATTTATTAATAGGTGTATGTGCATATACAGCACTTGCACTAAAACTAAAGATAAAAAAATTACTGACTATTAGTACTAGTAGTAATAGATGAGGTAATGGGTAGAATGAGAGTCTGACACTGACACTGAATACTAGAGTTAACTGTTAGTGTTAATGTGTTAATGCACACTAATCTTTTTGTTTATATCAACTGTTAGTGTTAACGTGTTAATGCACACTAATCTTTTTGTTTATATCAACTGTTAGTGTTAACGTGTTGATGCACACTAATCTTTTTTTTTTATATCAAGTCAACTGTTAGTGTTAACGTGTTAATGCACACTAATCTTTTTGTTTATATCTCCACGCCCAACTGACCGTCTTCACTTCAGCTTTATTTGGTCAACTCGTGTCATAAATGGAAACGAAATTCAAATTTCAAACGATAAGTGCAATCTCTTATAACCATGTCAATGATGTCATTGTGTCTATTGAATAAAACATTGACTGAATGAGAAATTTGTTTTATTCAAAAGCTCCACTGCATTTTGAGACTTGACTTGCGGGTCTGGCCACAAGCTTAACCAGCTATACTTTTTCCTAAGTGTAAACAATAAGCTCAGTAATTTCATTTAATGAAGATGTTGAATTATTTTGATACACCAACCAATTAAGAAGCCTGATGTGAAGCATCATTATTTGATTAATAAATTTATAAAATATCTTACTCAATTGTGTCAATCAGAAATGCAATCAGTAATAATTCAATCAGCTAAATATTGGCTGAATTGTTGAAATTCTAACTAAGCATTTACATTTACAGGTATTCTTCATTTTTTATAGCCATTTCTTCCATAATTTTGAATTAGCTTTTCTTCATAGATCTTTGACCATATCTGAGTATTTCCACCATGCACGTATCAGAAATACACCGCAAGGAAGGTAATTCTTTTTACTTGCAAGCTCGTCGTGATGGCATTGCTCCAATTCTTAGACAAGCTAAGTTGGAGAAAGCTTGTATGTTCTATAACAAGGCCATTCAAACGGCAAGTACTTCAGATCAGAAATCCTCCGCTTACAAAAATCTTGGCCGAGCATCATGGGAGATCACCTGCAATATTGAAGCAAATGAAAAGGCCTTCAATGAACTGTCATTCTACTACAAAGAAGCAATTACCAGCTTCTATAATGCTGAGCAGTTTGGAGCAACCTGCAAAAGTGCCTTGTGGCTTACAGATGTCAAATCTTCTCGAAGCCAATGCTTGAACTCCAGTTTTCAGAAGTACATTGAGCTCCCATTCTCAATGCACATGGGAGGTCTTGAAAAGTTGTGCAACATTTTAGATGAGCCTGGGCATCAGGCTGAATGCTTCACCCACATTGGTCAAACACTCTTCAATGCTGCTGTTAAAGCTTTGGAGAAGAAAGATTACAAGACAAGTCTAAGCCACCTCAAAGAATGTTATCGTCCCATTGAAGAGATGAGACGACTGGGGGAAAATGATCCCCTTGTGGTGAGCGAGGCTGAGGTGCTCAGTGGTGACGTCCTCCTGCATACTGCCAGTGCTGAGTCTATGCAGGCTGTTGCAATGGGTATGTTGAATATATCTATGTGTTGGTTGTTACATTGTGGAATGTCTCAGAAATGCTTTTGTGTTCTGATTAAAACATTGAAATTGTCTAGAATTCTTTTTATTGTTGGGTGAATACAATAGCTCAGAAAGAAAGTATTTTTAAATATCTATATGCTCAACTAATATTTCCCTTTCATTTTTTCTTCAAATATATGTAGTTTGTAAATAACATATTAAATAATTATTGCTTTTTCAGGGGATAGCTTGCTGCAGAAGGCAGTGATGGACAGCGAGGAGCTGAAGATGTCCTTGATCATGGAGGTGCTGGACTGGTATGTGGAGGCTGTCATCTCTGCTAGAGATGTTGAGGTGAGAATAAAAAAGCAATGAGCAATATTTAGATAATAAGTCAATTTTTGAAAAATCTATTTTTTGAAATGGTAATTTGAATATATTTGAAATAATTCAGAAGTTAATGATTAAATGATAAATATTGAGCTACTTGTACAGAATAAAGGTATTTATAAAAAATTCCCACCTGGAGGAGGTCAAATAATCTAGTATCATCTAGGAAATTTCCTTTAATTTGTCAGTTCCTACATTGGTTCTATGTGAGGCAATACATTTGAATTTATGTATAATTGTAGAATAATGTAAATTGTATTGTTGATTAAATGTTGTAAATGTTGATAAAAATTTGATTTTAAATATATCCTATATAACAACAGTTGACTCATAATTTGTGGATTATTACCTTTGAAGTTTAAATTTGATGTTATTTAACATTTTATTCCTATGGATATAAATAAAAGTAGTGACTACATTAATCTTGAATATTATATATATATATTTTAGGTTAATCACATTCTGTCTCACAGATTGAACATGAAGCCATAGCATCAAGCCGCATAGGCAAAGTCTACGATCAGATTCTGAAGATGCCATGCAAAGCCAAGAAATACTTCATCCACAGCTTGCAGCTGGCACACTCGGCAGCGCCTAAAAGTTTTGTCAATGAGGGTATGGCTCCATTCACTCCACCATATTTTAATGTTTTTTACTGCCATAAAGATCATTGCTAGATAAAGATAGCACTATTTGATCGTTATTCAACAGTAGATCTTTTCCTGTTTTCAGTAGCTGATTTACCTCATATACATCCAATAATTTTGGTCTCTACGTAGGTAACAAATAGGCGTTATGAACTCTTGACTATACTACAACTGACAGTGAATACAGGAGTGCAGAATGATACACATATATGAATTCAAATATTGACATATAGTACCATTAGTATCCCCCGTATTGGGCAGAGGGAGTTACAGTGTAAAGCGATCTGTTGTATAGTACCGAACTTCTTGCTAACTCGTGATCTTACTGGCTCTCTTGTACTCAAACCCCTGGGAGTTTTTTGTTAAGAGGCTGTTGTGATACTTGTACTGTACTGCCTCTGTAGCCATATCAGGGGTGTCTCTATGGTTTTTTTTTTTATAGCGTGATTATCCGAGTAATACTATTGATATCAAGTTATAGATAGGGGCAATTTTGTGCTTCTGCTTCCAAATTTTTGCTATCTTGTAGTCCCCCACCACGAAGATCTCGGGTGGTAATGCAGAATATGACCAACTCACATCTGCCCTCAGTTGGGCAAACTGATTCAAAAGAATGAGATGATCTTTGATGAGGAAGAGTTATATTGCCAGCGTAACTTAACACCTTCCTGTCATGTATCAGCAACACCAAATATGTTGTTTCAGTCTGATTTGTCTTTATGAGCATATACTAAGATCAATGGAAGAAAAGTATTAAATTATATGACATCAGGAAAATTGCGAAATTCTGAGTTATTTCACAGTTGTCTTAGTCTATAACAATGTGGTACTGATGCACTGCTAACCTTAAGACCTCTTCAATAAAAAAATGATATAAGCACACAAAAATCGCCGTTCCCGTAGTTTTTGACTGACAATAAAATCGCTGTTTTTGCAGACTGGTTCATTTTGGCCCGTGACAGCGTGGCGAGGTTCCAGGAAGAGTCCCTGGTAGAGCAGCAGCGGCGCGAGGAAGAGCTGCGGCAGAAGTACCTCAAGGTTGGGTATCGTTTATGTTACCTCGAGAACAGTGTGATCTTACTTCTTAGATTTGTTGCATATTTGAGTCGAAACAATTTCCTCCTAAAATCCGGAATCTGAAGGACGAAATAAGTATAATAATAATAATTTAGTTCCAATGTTTGTCTCACCTTCATTAAGATTTTACAGTTGGCACTAGTATTTTATCATCTTGTCGAGTTCTGTTCCCTTCCTTGACGAACTTAATATTTTTGGAGATCAATTTACCACATTACGAAATGGATATAGAAATCAAACTTTTAAAAGTGGGACATTTGATAATATTTCTGGTAGTAATTCAAATTTTTCTGTCGCTTCATTATGGCGAGGAATGATGTACTGTAGATCATTGAGTGGAGTGATCAGAAAAGTGGGATGACGTCGAGGCGTGCTTTTTTCAGCTGATCTTTTCTCTAATGGATTGACTGCAGACAACTGAGGCCTGCAATTTTCACTTGTCTGTTCTATTCAACTAGAGTGCCAACTCCAGGGCAAGATTTCGTGCAACTCAATTACATCAATTTTTAATTACCCAATGATTTATCCTTATATTAGGGCAACTCACTCACTTTTATTACTAATACACGACACCTTCACTTGTTTCAATGCAAGGATTTACTCTCCATAAAAAAGTTTCGCCTATCACATGCTCACAGTACTGTTTTTTGTAAATCAGTTTTCCGATTTAGGTGTTCAGTGTTCGGTGATATGACATTTTGGTATAGATCACTAATTCGTCACATTTATTTCTTGCGCCACCTCCCTCTTCTACTGCACCGCCAATGTCTCGATACTAATTCAGTCTAGAGTCTAGCTTAACAGGATCTTCTTTATTTATTATTGTTTATTATTATACTAATTATTATTCTCAGGACCTACAAGGTGACCTGTCGAAGCTTCACGCTTTCCGAGACAAGCTCTCCGGAGGCTCGCAGTATCTCCTGCTGCTGAAGATCTACCAGACTTTCCCTCCTAAGAACAAGGACCACAAACTGTCGGCCACTAAAGCTCAGCTCAAGAGCATGGACAGGCCGGATCTTAAGAAGGTAAGTTTGCGAGTGAGCTGAGTAGCCACGTTTAGCTTAAAGTTATTTTACTTTCTGCTCATACACGAACAAAATATAGATGCTGGCACGACTCTGCGTCAGGCGCCGCCCAGGACTTAAGTTGTTAGCACCACATTAGAGGCGTTGTGAACACCACTCACCTCCTTATTGATTATAAAATATAGTTTGAGCGACTTGGACTTGTGTGAGTATCGGAAGCAACAAGATTTAACATGTATTATTCAAAAAATTCAACATAAATGCGTCTCTGCTAAGCTTCGATTTCAAAATGATTCTATTCGAGCGAACGACCTTTATGTATCAACAGTGAGTAATTTTACTATCAATTTGGCAGTTGTTCCTGAAGGCGTGCATCCACTACCACCCTGACAAGCAGGACGTCGAGAAGCATGGCTTGCCTTGGAAGTATTTCTCTGCCGAGATCACCAAAGTCTTGACTAACGTCTATGAGACATTCAAAGGTTGATGATGACGAATGATTTTAGTGACGCAAATCTCGACAGGAACAGTAAGGCCTACAATCTATTCTTTTATTCTATTTTTTTCCGATAATAATCATGTTTCTAATCTTTTTTGATAATAATCTTGTGACTTTCTCGTCATAAACGATGACCACAAATACAGGATCTTTTTGAGATATCGTCTCAACACACACTGCAGCAAATACCGATGAATTTTGTTAATATTCCTATTTCACTTGCTTATTATAGCCTCGTAAGCGAGCTTGTACTGATATGCATTCCTTTCTTTCTGGAGACCTGACGTGCCTTTCACTTACAATGTACCTGTTCTATTAGTGCTAATTATTTACAATGTTGTATGCACTATTTGAGATTAATTCAATACATATATTCTTTGTGATTCCATGAGAATATTTGCTCAGATGTTGCGGGTGATTAACGTGCCAAGAGTGGAAGCTTAGAATTTGTTTTTATAATTTTAGCATCGCTGCATATCGTTGATTGTTTCTTTTGGAAAAAACGAAACTTGGCTGAAGTTGTTTAGATCAATTATACTCTCATATTTTGTCTTAGAATAACTGTGTTTGAGCGATGTAACTCCGATGAAATAACTTCTCTTGTAATTCTTTTGTTTCGGTTAAATGATGGTTGGGCCGAGACATCACAGTTTGCGTCACTCCTGGAATTTGCGTTCAGTTTTATGTTCATCACTTTTTTTCTAGTCACAGTGCACGTGGAAAAGCATATTGCCCTGAATTATTGCATCATTGAGAATTGCTTGGACTGTCGTGTAGTCTAATAATTTTATTGGCAATATCGTATTCAAATTTCGTTAACCTGCTAATTACAGTATATATAATAAAGGAATTTTGCCAGGATTATCATAGTATCTACATATTTTGTTTGCTTTATCTTATAATATATGAATATCGCTATTTTACAACACTTCTCTTCAACTTCACTTCTTGTTTGTTTGTCTGTCTGCTACAAATCTTAAAATCAAAATTTAACACACTTCTACTTATGCTATCTATCTGAAATTTTGCACACTTGCATTAAGTTGGAGATAATGCAAGAATCAAATGACAAAATAAATTATTTTAAAATACTTTTTTTTTCAATATTAAAAAAATTTTAAAAATAATTTTGTCAGCTACAAATCTTATAACTGATATTTGACACACTTTTACCTGTCCAATTGATCTGAAATTTTGCACACTTGTGTGAAGTCGGAGGCAATGTATGAAAACTATGAAACAATTGACAGAATAAATAATTTTGAAAAAAAGTATAAATTAAAAAAATTGAAAAATTAATTTTTTTAATATTCGAAAATAAAACGAGAAATTCATTGTACATCTTTAACATTGGAGAGACTGGATTCTTTAGAAGTGTTGTCTTTAAAAAGTAATTTTTAAACGTATATTATTTAGCTTCCAGTTGTTGAATTTCGTTGGCATTATCTTGCGGAGGAACGAAATTTGCTGGATATTTGCCTTTATTTCATTTCTTATAATACTCCAAAATAGAGATCATTTCTCCCTCTTATAATACTCCAAAAATAGAGATTATTTTTCCCTATCATTTAACAAAGGAAAACACATTTTTACGTGCATTTCATTTATGTAGCCTCATGTGCAACTCGCGCGGTTCTTATCAAATTTCTACAGAGATTTATTCTTACCTAGCTTGTAGAGTAAAGTATGGATTATGGATGTTTTTATAGCTATTTTTCTATCTAGTCTTTTAAATATTGTGTAAGTCTGTATTTTGGTCTGTTGTGTTACACACTATCTTGTGTATAATTTTGATGCTGACTAGCGCCTAAAATAATATTTCGATGTCATAAATTTTCAATACAATTGCATTTTATTATTATTTTGCTTTGTAGTAGTCCATTACAGATTTGTCTTCCAATGATATACATCATGCAATTATATCTGTGATTTGAACTAGCGGATGTTTCATTTAGACGTAACCTTTCATTTTAGCTTCTTGTTGAATCAGGTTCATATCTACGAGAAACTTCTATTTGCTGCTCATCTTGGTTAACGTTTGAAGGTTCAACGAAATATTCAAAAGTGTCATTGACAGGAAACGGAAATGACATGAAATGTGAATGATTTATTCGCCTAAATATTTTTCTGTAGACAAAATTTCTACGTTCCAGAGCTTCTGATTTGGATGGTCGAAACAAATCCAACGCAGAAAAAGTGAACTGAACGGAATATGTTTACATCAAGTCCGTCAGAATTTCAGAGAATAAATGGAAAGTTTGTTCATAGAGAATAGAAAATTCGGCAATTAGTGTGCACTCCAGAATGCAGCTGACGGCATTTGGCCTCACCAGGCGAGGCTGAGAGTGGGCCTCACCAGACGAGGCTGAGAGTGGGCCTCACCAGACGAGGCTGAGAGTGGCCTCACCAGACGAGGCTGAGAGTGGGCCTCACCAGACGGGGCTGAGAGTGTCCTCACCAGACGAGGCTGAGAGTGGCCTCACCAGACGAGGCTGAGAGTGGGCCTCACCAGACGAGGCTGAGAGTGGGCCTCACCAGACGAGGCTGAGAGTGGGCCTCACCAGACGAGGCTGAGAGTGGCCTTCACCAGACATGGCTGAGAGTGGGCCTCACCAGACGAAGCTGAGAGTGGGCCTCACCAGACATGGCTGAGAGTGGGCCTCACCAGACGAAGCTGAGAGTGGGCCTCATCAGACATGGCTGAGAGTGGGCCTCACCAGACATGGCTGAGAGTGGGCCTCACCAGACATGGCTGAGAGTGGGTCTCACCAGACGAAGCTGAGAGTGGGACGAGTGGGACTGAGAGGAATTATTTATATATGACTAGGCGTTCTCCAGAACACTGTAGAGGAAATAAAATCCTTGTATACTATTATGATTATTGGTATAATATGAGCGGAAAAAATTATGCGTCCAGCTATGGTGTCGTGCGACGTTCTTCGCCTGGCTCTAGGAGTAGATTTTATTATAGAAATATCTAGTAATTCATCATTATTAGGCTGGATAAAGGAAAGTTGAAGATTATTTTTTATCCATCCTAGTGCATTAAAAGGTCGATACTAGTTAGAAAAATGATATTCTCACGTTTCGGATGATATGAATAATTTGTAATAGAAATGAACATACGGGAACAGAATGTATAAGATACTTCGTGTTGGAACAGAATGAAACAGAAAACAAGATTACATAAATTCATTGTTAGTAATGGAAAAATTCGTGTATTTCCCTTTTACCGTGGAATACATTAATTCTATACCACAAACTGTCTGCCGAATTTCATTTCGAAACGCAGATTTGATTTTTCTACTCTAAAATAGAACAAAAAATAACCATTTTTATGTGCTGTTAACAAGTTTTAACGTCGAAGTTAATAAATGTTAACTTCGTTAACAATATACAGTATTATATAGTTGACCTGAATGAAGAAACTCCATAAGATAATCATTTTCACGACTTGTAGCTAGACCAACTCCTTTAATTAACAACATGGAATGACTAAAGCGATGTTTGAGCTGCAATTATTTATAAGCTCGTAGAGTTTCAGCCCCGTATAAGTTATGGATTTTGTCAAACATGAATTTGAAATAAAACAATAAATTGTCGAACTGATGACAGCATTCGTCTATGAACAACTGTTCACTCGGTTGACCTGCCACCATTGCTTTGTCATCATTAGTCATTCTCTCTTCAACGGAATCTTGTTGATCATCACTCGGTCTCCTTATTGGAACAGCTTTACCAGCATACGCTATTTTTATTTCATCTGTTTCGTTGTCATCGTCAGCGGTTTTCACGCCTTCCAAGTGCTTTTGTGCAGAATTTTCCTTGAAGAAAAATCCCGCGCGTCCTTCACAATATCCACAGTCGGATATTTCAACGGTACTGGCGTGCGTTATTCCTACACTCGTGTCACTAATGACAGGAGGACTCTTGATGGCACCCAAACTATTGTCATGCCGTGACATGGCATTTCCTCCATCACCTGTATGGACCGTTTTCTCGGCTTCATCAGTCCTACTTCTATGTATAGATTCAATCTTTAAATCTTCGCAACATTCAGAACCGGGTGCTTCGGTTACTTTTAAATAATTATTGACATTTCTCTTAGGAATTTTTGTAGAATTTCTTGAAGTGTGAGGTACATGAGCAACATTTATGGACCAATCATCTGTAGAATTCGTGGAATATTTTCCGAAACATTTTGACGTGGATTCTTCGACCAACGCAGCCTTACAAGCGCTCACGTACTGGCTTTCTGAAGCCGAGGCCGTTTTTACCTCGCTGGAAATTCGAATTTCATTCAGTGGAGTCACGACTGAGGCATGTTCAGTTGTGCAGGTAAATTGCTGCTCGCTAAGATTTAATAAATCACTAGATTGAACATTATAGTCACTAAATTTGTTCGACGGAGATTCTGCTCCTTCATTAATAATGGAGGCAAGATATTCAGTGGATGCTGGCAACGCACTCGATGCAATCAATTCATTTTCTGCACGAGTGAATATTGCTTTATTGTCACATGTAGACGATCTTTGATCCTCCAATTTTTGACTAGAAGAAATTTTCTTCAATTCCAACTTCTCAGAATTTGCTGGTCGTGAATCTATCAGAACTTCTGTCTCAATTTCATGACACATTGAACGCTGCTTAGTATGTTGATCCATGTCGTCTTTATTGGACGACGATGTACGATGGACCATGAACTTGTGGACGTCGAGAGTGAAGTAATACAAAGCCTCTATGGTAGCCAGATAAGTGTTTGGTTTTCCGGTCTGGTAGCGCCAAAACAGCGTTTCGTGCTGTGATAATTCAACTCGCTTCAGCCCTGCAAATGAAATGGGAAATAATCAGCCGTTTCGAATTGAGAATAGTGTAAATTTTATATATGAGCTCATTGAGTAACATGATTATTACAAGTAGAATAATACATTTAAAGAAAAGCAAACCATTTTTAAAATTCAAATAGCAAGAAGGCGCGTGCGCGATAGTACATAGGCAACAAATAGAAGAGTAGAAGTCAAGTTTGGTTATTAAGTTTGTTCAGTGCTCTGATCCTGGCAGGAGAGAGACGCTGGAAGGAAGATAAAGAGTTGATCAGCTAAAGAAATTAAGGCACTCTGATGATAAGGTCATAATTCCCAAATACCCACTTAGATGAAAGGTCATAATTCCCAAATATAAAAGTTTATAATTCCATAATTCCCACTCAGATAAAATGGTCATAATTCCCATATGTGAAAGGTCATAATTCCATAATTCCCACTCAGATAAAATGGTCATAATTCCTATTTATAAAAGGTCATAATTCCCATTTATAAAAGGTCATAATTCCATAATTCCCACATGTAAAAGGTCATAATTCACACTCAGATGATAAGGTCATAATTCACAAATAGTTACACTTCCATACCACAGCACGAGCAGGGAACGGACGTAGCACTGTTACGCCTTTATGCCGGGTTATTTGGGTCAGAATGACACACACAAGAGCAAAAAGTGCATCACTATTTGGACTAAGTTTCTCTGATTGTAGGTGAGAATCTACAATCAGAGTCTCTTTTCTCTGTTGATCGGGTGAAAAGAGACACGGGAAGGCCGAGGTATGCTGACTACATAACAATTTAACCCTACAACGAAGAAACGCTGTCATAAACTACATCGATAAGTCCCATTGTAATTATTTTTTTTCTGTTTTTTTTAAAGGCCTCCCACACTCACCATACCAACAAAAAAAAAGAATTGATTTTATTAATTAAAAACAGGGAATGGTTTCATGTCAATGATCAGGGCCCCGACCTTAACGCCTCTGATGGTGGCCTACACCGACTCCGAGGGACTCTCTCTCTTCGCCGCCGCAAGTAGACGAGCCCTGTATATTTGGTCCGCCGCTTCCAAAAGCCGCGCCGCAGAGGCCGCGGCCACAGGCCCATCCCAAGTCCTCTGCCAGCCCAAACTCGCGTCCTCGGGCAAAGCAACACCTGCGTTCCCATTGCGCCACTCATCCACCGCCATCCGCAAACTGTCGTCCTCGGCCAGTCGTACATTTTGTAAAACAGCATCAACTAGGCCACGGACGGAGTGGAGTGACGATATGAACGCAGGGAGCGCGATGTCCTTTGACATACGGATACCCAGGCCTCCCAGCCGGACCGGCAACACAGCTTGTTCAAGAGATTCGCAGGAATCTCTATTTATTATTATTAAAATTGATCATTTATTATATTAATTATTTTAACTTTTAAAATATAGTCCCATTACCTCACCTCCCATTGACATTACCAGCAATTCTAGGGTCCCGCAGGATCGTCTTGACTTGGTTCCATGTGCAGTCCACCAGCACCGCGCGGTCGAAGGGCAAGGAGCTGTCAGAGCGTGAGCTGGTGGAGGTCTTCGGCAGCAGTGCGCTTAGCGGCAAAGACCCGCGCCCGGGGAATATTAGAACTACCTGCAGTAGATTACAACGAATAATGTATTTGAAACATTTATTCTTCTTCACATCGAAAAAGGAATCCGTCAAACTATCCAAATATTGACACCTTTTCACCCACAGCGCTTGCGGAAAAGGAATGATAAATATTCTTCAGCCAGGTTGACCCAGACTAGGACAAATATACATCGTCATTTGGATAAAGTGTCACGCGTTTCTCTGAACGTGCATCGTTATTTCGATTTTTTTAATGTATAAATTTTCGTAACTTAAGAACGCGTTCCTGACCCGCTCGGAAGCGTCGCTGTACTCCGGAATGTCAGGATACGTGTAGAGCTTCACGTGCCCAGGCGCCAGGATGGGCGCGTGTACGGCCGTGCTTTTGCCTGCAATTTCCCGCGCGTCCTTCACAATATCCACAGCGAACGGAAGCTGGAACAATACAGAGCAAGGCGGCATGAAATTTGTGACAGTTGTGAGTCTCAACTACTTTATCAAGAATTTAAAAGCGAAGAAAACGCCAAGTAAATTCATCAATTCTTCATCAAGGTAACCGTTATTGAACATTCATAAATAGGTACAAAAAAACTGTGAATCTTTTTTCTCTTTCCATTCTTGTATGAATTATTCATATTTTATTTATACTTAAATAAATAAAAATTTATTAAATTGGGTCCATCATTTAGAATAATTCTGTATATAAGGCTTCGCACAGTCGTGTAATCGTTCAAGTAGCTAATGGGTACTTGAAGATAAATTGATATTTATAAAAAGATATTAATCTCATAACAATTGCAAGGTATTACGTTATGGAGCTTAAAATGGAAGTTAAAAATCGATAAAAATTGAAAATAGAACTTGCATTATTACAATACTACATGCATAGTAGCTTCTTCACCGTAATTTATAGCGGTACCTGCACTTTAGGAACTCTGTCTCTGAATCTTTCCAAAGGCAAGCAGCAAGTGTAGCAGAAATATTTCCGGGACTGGCCGCACTGGCAGCAGCGGCTTCTACCTTCACATTCTTCAAGGAAGCGTGCGTCGTCGATACGAAACTCATCAAAAACTGAGGCCAAGTCGCGACGAGGCTTCAAGAGCTTGATCTGTTCCCGCGGTAACTGACGGAGATCCACGTGTGCCATTGTTGTTGTTGAAATTTTCGCACTCCGGTCTGAATTGCCACTAGTTGAGTATACACTCAGAAATTGTTTTGAGACTTTGTCCAAGTAGAGATACATACACCTCGTGACCCAGCTTAGTACGAATTAACGTCGGATCGGGGCTAGGTGGAGAAAATGTGTCACCAACTGGAAATTACGAACCATTCATATATCTGAGTGAACACTGAACCCCTTCGAGGGTGGCCTATTGATTACGAGAAGATCTGAAGGTAATTATTAAGGTCATACATTTATGAGGTCATGGATACCTGACTGAACTATTCCATGCACTTTACCATTAACCCTTTATCAAATTTGCTCATGAACTAGGAATTTCGGTCGTGTTTCACCTTGAGGTACAATAATTAAGTCACCACTGTTTTTATATAAATGTTCGGTACCTATTTAATAAAATATATGTAAGAGAATGAAGATTAGCTAATCCAGAATGTACAACCATAAGATAAATTCATTCCCTACATTGAAACCTAAAGATGCTTTATACACGGGGAAAGTTTTAGTCGATATAAGCACCTAATATTACCAGATAGTAGACAATAATTTTTTTGGACAAACAGAGATCGTTTATTTCCTGCACACTGGTTCAAACTGCCGACTCATGGGTGGCTTCAGAATATCAGCAGTGGACTGACGTTTATCTCACTATCTTGCATAGCGAGTCGAATCTACACCCTTTTTACGCTTTTCCTCGTAGATTCTTCACGCTTTTAAACACTGACAGATTTATTCCATCACATTGGTGAATTAAGAAGAAGGTTGAAGCTTACTTCACAGTAGATGTCAATAAAGCATTGTAATGGTTGCCAGTGTCATCAAATTCCAGATGCCCTACACTGAACTAAATACCTGTGCATATTCTTAACAAATTCAAGAGAATACTGGCTGATTAATGTAGTGTACGAACCGTCTTACACATCAAACACCATTCTTCAGTTCATAGCCTCCTCTTCGCGTCTACTAGGTGTTCAGTTTGTAGGTAGTTACAATTACGTCCTTTGCTCGATCAAGGAATTTTAAAATTATTTTTGAACAGCCTCCCCGATGACATCGTTGGCGCTCCAAGTATGAACGCGTTCATGAACAGACTAGAATTAGATAAAGCTATGGAAAAATATATCCATATCGAACCCGGTGGAAGTCTAGTAGCTACTTCAAACTATCGTCAGTCCTGAAAAGATCCGGTCAAATGACACGATTTTAGATCTTCTGTGAACAAAGCACGAAAAGGAAGAGAATCGGCGACAGGCCACATCAGGCCTACACTGCAGCGCCGACATCACTATGTTATTTGCAAACGCGGCTACGAGTCCCTGAGGTCGCCACACCTCAAATAGAAAGCGGCTAACCACAGCCACGATGCCAGACCTCATATTTATATAATAACAAATTTTCCCTGCATTAGACTTCACCTATCAGTTTGATCTAAGGTTGAAAATCTGTTTAGAAATTGAAGAATAGTCAAACCTGACTTGAATTTGTGCTGTAAAGAATATGAAAGTGTCAAGGTAAGAGAAAGAACCCTTACACAAGCGGATTTCCCGAAAAACGCTGCATTGAGAGATGACATAACAGGTTGATCTAAAAAATATTGAAAATCTAAGAAAAAAAATAGTAACTTGTGAAAAACAAGGTCTGGCATAGGCATGGCAGAAGGCGCTTGCTATTCTCGCCGGGGAAAAACGATCGTAACAAACAAGAACAGCACGCGAGTAAGCCCAGAAGAATGCACTTTAGCGCAGCTAAAAGATGATCGGATTAAATCTTTGAAATTGGAGAGGGTTAATATGGGATAAAGGGCACGCATATTTTCCTAAAAATATAGACAAGATTAAACGGAACAGCAAATTAGTAACGCAATTCAACATACCCAAACAAGCATATAACTAACCCAAATATTAATGAATATTGAGCCTTTTGCGTCAATTAACACAAAGAGAATGAATTGGGAATAAATAATCATGAAATTATTGACACTTTTTAATAACATACATCAACGATCACTAATTCTTGTCAGAGACTCTGAAACCACTAGTGACTTTCAGAACATTTTTCATGAGAACTTTCTCCTTGTGTTTCTGAATAGCCTCCTTGTTTCGTACTTTTTCAACCTCAGCTTTCTTTCCTTTGACCATGAGCCTTCTCTTCTCCAGGGTGGCTTCTATCTTGTCGGTGTTCCTAGAATACTTCTTGAATCGCTTGGTGTTGCTCTTCTCAGTTATAGTCTTGAAGCGACGCCTGTTAATGCTCTGCAGTCGCAGCCATTGCTGTGAGAGCGTCCTGCTTACTTTTGATGCACGTTTCTTGTCCGTCTCAAGGTTGCGTTTCGAAATAACACCTCCTCGTGGTCTGTACACTGCTGCATACTCACGCTCACGGAACTTAAGTGCTCGATCAAGGGCCTTATCAACGTCAACTTCGTTGAGTTCTTCCTGTGGCAAGTCTTTGTTGTAGTCCTCGGGGAACATTTTCAGAGGGTACACACCCCCCACCACGTCCATGAACTGACGCACTAGCACCATTAGCTTAGCGTGGTTCTTCTTGTAGATGCCTTCACTGTTGGCCACCTCAAACAGCGCCCCACTCACGTCTTCTGTAATAAATATTATTGTTCGGATAAGGGAAAAGAATTGCAGCCACAATTCGAAGCCAAAATTGCAGTGGCTTTTATATAGTGAGTAAACCGATAGTGACCGATAGTATAGAGTTTAAACCGATAGTGAGTAAACTTGTTTGGACGTAAAATACTGAAAATTTTGCTCCAGCACTAGCTGGCGGTTTTAATTTTTCCTGAAACCAGGAACGCCCTATACTTGGTTCAGTGTTTTCATCAATGGCACATGTCCAAACCTGGACAACAACCGAACGACTATCAAGTTTTCTAAAGTTAACAATAAATCAATGATAAATGAGAATACTGAATTGATAAGCGTACCGTAGTTAACTCTAAGCTGTGGCAGGAGGACATCCACATTGCCAGCTCGTGGATCAAGAGGAAACTCCTCCTCTTCTTCCTCGCCTTCCTCAAGATCCTCTTCATCTTGTTCCATCTCGACGCCTTCGTCCGTCTCGATGTCTACCTCCTCATCATTGTCGTCTTCACTTTCATTCTCACTTAGTGCATCGTTGCCTTCCTTGGGACTGTGAAACAAGAAGAAATATTACACTAGTATATAAAACACCATAGAAAAAATATTCATTGAGACCTTAACTAGTAATCGCTATGCAACTTTATAAGAAAGATGAGATAAAAATTTCAGGGTTAGAAAAACTTGTGTAACAAAAATACATTGAACTGTGAATAGTATACTAGTATCAAAACATAATGCAATACAACTTTTAAAGATGTCAGGACTTTATGATATATTGAGCAGCAATGCGGAACTTTGTAAGGATTTTCAGTTGTAACGTTTCCTGCACTTTTTGAAATAGAGTAAAATTAATGTAAGAAAGCATATTTTCATAGGAATGTAAATGAACACACAAACATCGAATTAGAAACGTGACTACTTTAGTAAATACTAAACAGTGCAAATTTTATTATCAATTAATACGATATTTGTAGACGCACATGTTGCGATCATCGAAGCCATAGTCGGTAGGCTTGGCCAGAGTTTCCCCCTCGAGCAGATAAGACTTGTTATCCACACCCACGTCGCTCTGACGTAGCAAGTGATGGAAGACGTTCGTGATGACATCCTTCACGTACCACTGACAGTGACTCACTGCCAACACCTTTCAAAAATCAATCGTTATATATGGCTTGTAGATAAATCGATCATAATTCAGCTTCAAATATGTGTACTACAAAATGATAAAATAATAAATCGTCCTACGAGGCTCCTTGAAAGCATGAAAGAAATTATTAATTCCAAGAAAGATAAATAGACTATGTAACATATAAGTCAACAATGAACGTCAAAATCATCAATTGCTTCAATAATAATCTTGAAAATACAAAATATGGAACAAATAGAATTGGATTCATTTGAACAGGATGCTTTAGCCAAGGAAAAAATAGATATTAGAGTAAATTGTCATGGATTAACAATTATTTTCCTCACTAATGTAGACATGCAATTTTGAAAGTATGTTGTGCATGGATTCTTCATCATTTACTGAGAGAAATGGATGATGAAAGTAATACCATAAAAGAATGTATATTTTACCCGAGTCACCAATAATTGGGCGATAAGAAAACAATATAATCTTTACCTTAGCCAATTAAATAGGCAATATAGAGAACATCACAAAAGAATGACATAGTAAAGTTCATTTTCCTATATTAAAGAGGAACAGGAACTAGAATAATCTGTCTATCCCGGGCAAAATAACGTCAACAACAATGCTTCAAAAAAATTATATTATAAAGATATCTTATATTGCTGACTTACCTTGATATACGGACGCAAAAAGACCATGATTACGTCATGTGTGAGAGCTTCGTTGTTGCCCTTGGCAAGTTCCTCCAGGTAGATGGAGCTCAGATGTAACTTGGGGCCGCGACCAAACTTATGCTCGTGGTCGAGAGGTCTGATGACTGTGTCTTCCAGCATCTGCACGAACTGGTCTGAGTGCAGCCAGTTCTGGTCTGCCAGTCGAAATATTGCTTGTCGGATCACACGTCTGAATAACTGTGACACAGAAGAAAAGTTATTTCTTGATGCCTACAGTCCAGGTGAAATAGTCAAAATATTGCTTGTCGGATTACATGTCTGAATAATTGTGACACAGCAAAGAAACAGAAGGAAATGTGTTTTAGAATAGTTGGAATTTCAATATTAACATGCATTAAATTGAAAGTATAATAATGAAGAATGTAAATATGTGAAAAGTACAAAAACATATTTACTTAAAATTTTATGGTAAGCATTAAATCGAATGTATGCAATTTTGTAAGATATAATCCAACGTTTTTCAGAAAATATTTATAATTTTTCAGTCAGTGCACCAAATATTATTGATGAAGATATTCTCATGAATAACTGTTATTTTCTCAATACTTGCCATCATCATCTTGTCGACCATGAACTGATTAACTCTGTCCCACTCTCGCTCAAAAGTTTCCATAGCAGCTTGTATGAATAGATTTGCCGTCTTCTCTTTCTTGAAGCAATGGATGAAAGAGCTTATTTTGTCAGCCAAGGCTTCCTGTGGGTCACATTCAAAAAGATTTACCTTGTAACAAATAAATATGTTGTTGAAGAAACCAGAAAAATTATATTACAAAGCATAAAACTTCCAGATTTTAATGCCAGGAGATCAGCATTGAAACTATGCAAGTTACCATCAAATCCTAGATTATTTGAGAGAAAATAAATAACCAGTTTAAAATATCACCAAATTCACTGGTGTAAAGTTTCAACAAAATTTAAATCTACATACCTTGGCATTCCCTTGTCCATAATATAGCAAATAATAATAATAATAAAAATAAAGTCTACAACATTTGCTCAAGATTTCTTAAGAGGTCTTAGCTCTGTTAACCACACTCACAAGTCTGATTAGCTATTACAATAATCAATCATGGGAATGACAAACACATCTAAAAAAATACTTGTGTTTGGTGAAAAAATTTGAAAACTGATTTAGATGGAGCCCAGATCTACAGTGTGAGTGGAGCCTAGATCTACAAGATGAATAAGTGATTCAAAATTGACTCCCACAAATCTTGCCCTCATGTACCCTTATCTAATCTACCAATATAGAGAATAAAGTAAAAGTTTTTCAGATTATTGGTGCCAACTGATGACAATAGAGAATATTGATAACCTGAAAAGATAACTTTTAAAGTAGCATTAGATTCATTGCAGTCAATCAACAGAAAAATGAGAAATTTACTAGGGTATTTGTGACATTGTAGGTGCAGATCTAAGGTGAAAATGTCTAGTGAATGGCAGGTTCTACAAGTCTAATGAATGGCAGGTTCACACATCTAATGAATGGCAGGTTCACACATCTAATGAATGGCAGGTTCACACATCTAATGAATGGCAGGTTCACACATCTAATGAATGGCAGGTTCTACACATCTAATGAATGGCAGGTTCTACACATCTAATGAATGGCAGGTTCTACAGATATAATGAATGGGCAGGTTCTACATATCTGATGAATGGGCAGGTTCTACATATCTAATGAATGGGCAGGTTCTACATATCTGATGAAGGGTCTGAATGTAAGGGAACCCCTAAAAAGGTCTAATACCATAATCAAATTTCTGGAATAACCATACACTCTAAAGGTCTTATGATCATTTAAGAGACGTTCAGCGCCATTGGGAAACTAACCTGAAGCAGAGGCTGATCTTGCCGTAGCATGGCTGTGTGTAGACCCTTCCATACTACTGTGAAGGCTGTGTGGTTTGTAACTGCAATTCAATGAAACATAAATGATAGGATACAAAACCCTAACACAATATGTACCATCAAAAGGGGTAAAAAGGGATGGTTTTGAGCATTTTTTTTAAATAACTTCTTACCATGAAACATTTCATAGACAAGTTTGGGCTCATTTTAAAGGTCTTTGCAAGAGCTATCATATGGCATCTCCAAAAAAATTCCATATGCTATAAAAGGCTCCTGAATCAATCTGGAAATGGGGTAAAAAAGGACACTTGAAATAAAACTCAATTTTAAACATTTGAAGCATGCAGAGTCTATGCACAATTTTGCAATGACTGGTGCAGTAATTTTTTGTTAAGTGACTTTTTTTTTCACTGAGCAAGGTAAATGTAATCAAATTTCTTTGTTGTTAATTGATTTTTTCATTAACTGGAGCCTTTGATAACCAAGGCTCTACTGTAAATGCAGTTTTAGGGGTGTCCCTTATTACCCTGGGGGGGGGGGCTATCCAGTATTACCCCGTTTTGCGGGAATGGCCGCCATTTCTTCTTGGAATGAGATATGCAAATTCTGTCAATCATGTTTTTTAGCCAACACCAGTGAGCAACTTTTATGCAAGTAAGATTTTTCAATATGACAAATATTTTTTCTGCTACAGATTTTAGCAGAGGTACTTTTGCAAAATTTCACTTTTCACACATTTTTCAGTGATTTTTTAGAGGTAATAAATGTATGATTTCTCAACTTGCTTTATGCTGCATAGATAGTAAAAACATTGAATTTTACGCCACTATTTTTAATTTTGCAATATTTTGATTGGTTTAGCTGTTACAACATTTCTACAAAATGTTGGAGGACTGTACCTTTATACCCCTGATTTAAAACGAATGATACACACGATCGATGGTTCAACACGAATGATGTGCACGATGGTACCCCATTTGACGGTATATATTTTCAATTCATAAGTACAATATGGATATTTTATGACATAATAAATAACATAAAACATTTTTCCATCTGGTCAAAACCTGTCAATTAATTTCAAAATAGTCTGAAAATTAATTATTACCGTAAAATGGGGTAACTTAGACCATTTTTTTTTTATAAACGATGCCATTTTTTTACTAGCTAAATTAAACTTGAATTGAAACATGCAAAATACAGGTCTATACTCTAGCTTCACTCACCATAAATTGCTGGCTCCTGCCTCTCATAGTCTTAAAGTAATTTAAAAAAAAGTGATCTATTGTGTTACGTAGCCTCAGTATTAGGCCTTTGATGGCCATTGACAAAATTTTTCTATGTCGAATCGTTTTTGAGTTTTGGGGGTTTTTGTTAAAAAAACGAAAAGTGGTCAAAGTTACCCCGCCGGTCAAATTAACCCCATTTTATGGTAGCAGGAGACAGGTCAAAACTAATACAGCATGAACCATGAAAACACAAATAAAAGGTTATTGGATTTCAAAGTTTTATGCTATCCACAAATTGTTTTTTATATTTTTTGACAAAACACAAACAAATACTGTAAATCATCTGCATGCAGGCAGGTATGTCATTCTAACATGCTAGGGTAAACACACCATATTCCGACACCTTAAGGACGTAGCAAGAAATAAATGGCTATACAGCAATCCCTTGATTAGCACGGTTTTGAATACTGCGTTTTTGATTAACGCGGAAAAAAAGTTGCGACCTACCCTTAATCTACACGGTGCCAGTTTTGATTAGCATGACTTTTTTTCACAACGCATCATTTTCTCACCTCTAGCCAGAGTTGTTATGTTCGTAACAAAAGTGTTACTTTTTGCTTTTTAAATCTTATGTCGTTACTTTTGTTACGACTTTTGGAAAAATTTGCCAAATGTTGTTACTTTATGAATTTCAGCCAATAATTCTTTAAATAAGGTCCCATTCCGTAGGCACTCGTGCTGACTAAAGAGTCGGTTTAACCGCGCCTTGTCTCGTTCATAACTCGAATGGTCGAGTTTGGCAACGTTTGCTGGTAAGTGCACCATGCCGGTGCTCTAGTTACTTGTTAGCCTTCAACTGGTCAAGATCGCTGTCATATCTACTGCTCACTTTTATCAAACTACATAATTTTCCTTGATAAATTACCGTCATAATTATGGAAAAAAAGGGAACGCTTAAACGAAAAAATATCACTTTGGAGACTAAGCTTGAAATAATTAAGCGTTTTGATAATGGTGAAATGAAAACAAAGATCGGTGAAGACCTAGGGTTTCCCCGAGTCAACAATACGCACAATTTTGAAAAAATTGTCCGAGTATCAAGAGAAAGGCAAAATTGCTTCTGTGCAATTGAAATTGGATTCGTTTTTCAGTAAAAAATAAATGTTAATTCATTCGCATTTCTTTTATTTATTTCCCCTATTATATAGAAAAAAATATGATGAATTTTAGTGGAAAAAAATTATTATGTAACTTTGCTATTTTCGAGGATTCATTATAATTATTCCCATATATTCTTAAGTTTGATTTGCACGGTTTTGCTTAACACGGTAAAACTCGGGGATTTATTAACCGCGTTAATCAAGGGATTGCTGTAAATAGATCACACTCTCACAGTATGTGCAACTCAAGTTCTGAATGGTTTACATCACTCTCAAAACACCACACTATGTGCCAGCAATGATGAAACATCACAAACTGTTGCCATATTTATTTAAGAGCCTTTAGAATTCAAATCTACAAAATTGCTGAATTCCGACACTGTGTGACTAAATGCAGCAAATTGTGAGACTAATTCTGACAGCACTTCAAAATTGTAATTAATAATTCTGACACCCTGTGTGAGGGTGAGTTGTGTTGGTATACAATACCCTGTGTCATGGCTGTGTGTTGTACAGTTACACAGTTGAATCCCCGAGTTTTACCGTATTAAGCAAAACCGCGCTAATCAAACTTAAGAATATATGGGAATAATTATAATGAATCCTCAAAAATAGCAAAGTTTGATAAAATGTTATGTAGTTTGATAAAAGTGAGCAGTAGATATGGCAGCGATCGTGACCAGTTAAAGGCTAATGAGTAACTAGAGCACCGGCACGGCGCACTTACCGGCGAAAGTTGCCGAACTCGACCATTTGAGTTATGAACAAGACAAGGCGCGGTTAAACCGACTCTGTAGTCAGCACAAGTGCCTACGGAACGGGACCTTATTTAAAGAATTATTGGCTGAAATTCATAAAGTAACAACATTTGGCGAATTTTTCCAAAAGTCATAACAAAAGTAACAACATAAGATCTAATAATCAAAAAGTAACACTTTTGTTACGAATGTAACACCTCTGGCTAGAGGCGGGAAAATGATGCGTTGTGAAAAAAAGTTGCGCTAATCAAAGCTGGCACCGCGTAGATTAAGGGTAGGTAGCAAATTTTTTTTCCGCATTATTCAAAACTGTGCTAATCAAGGGATTGCTGTATAGTCAAATGGGGTAAGACAGGACCGCAGCCTTCATGGGGTAAGAAAGGACCAGCCCATGGCATGCATACTGATTGCACTGAGTTTAATTTGACAGAAGAATATGTTAGAGCAATATTGCCATTTCAGTGTTTGTTTCAACCCTCTTCTGCAAATAATGAATTTTTAATTAATTTTCAAAGAAAACCTATGTAAAGAAGGGTCACAAAATAGTTAACCCTATTTGGGAAATAAGCTCTGTCTGATTAAAAAAATTTTTTTGGCCAGGTTTGTGGAGGTAGGCAAGTAACCTCAAGTAACATGCAACTTTTGAGACATACTAGGCATTCCTACCTGCTACCATCACTGCCTGACAACTATTCTAAAATGGGATAAAAAAGGACTGGACATGGGGTAAGACGGGACCACCAAATGATCCTGTTTACCCCACAAATGGTCCTGTCTTACCCCACAAATGGTCCTGTCTTACCCCACAAATGGTCCTGTCTTACCCCACAAATGGTCCTGTCTTAACCCAAAAATGGTCTTCTTTTACCCATAGTTTATCAAAAATAGCTTTTAAATCAGTGGTTCCCAAACTTTTTCAGGCTGACGCCCCCTTTGGCTCCCTAGTGAATTTCTAGCGCCCCCCACAGACACATATAAAATCATACCCCTCTTTCTATAAAATTTAGTTCGCTGCAATTTTGAAAGACAAAGGTTAAACACAAATGTGTACTTCACAAATAGGACCTCTTTTAGTGAACCAATGTGTTTTTCAGCTGTTTTAACTGTTTCAGCACCATAAACCTAGGACGTTTCGGGCAAATTTACGGCCGGACTCGTGGCCGGTCTCACGACCATGTCTCCAAATTCAATTATCAAGGAATATCATCCAAACTAATGAACGCAGATCAATAAAACTTGGAACATGTATTCATCAGAACTTAACGGTGACGTTTAGCGTTATTAGGTGATATTTAAATTTTTTAAATATCACCTTCATTCGTGAGTTATATTGCGATACAGGCCGAAATTCGCAGTGATCAAAGAATTTCTTCCAAACTACCAAACAGATTTGAACGAAATTTTGAATATACATTCCTAACTACCAAATGGTGTTTTTAGGATTAAAATTTTTTTTATTTTACCGTCGTTTGCGAGATTTTTTTTTCATTTCACCGTCATTCTTGATTTCACACTTCCTTATTCGCTTTCGTTTGCAAGTTATACAGATATAGGAGGAACGACCGGCTTTTATACCGGCTGGTTTAACCAAGAGCCGTTTACGTATAGCCGTATAACTCACAAACTAAAGCAAAACGAAAAAATTGTAATGAACTAAACATCACAGTTGCTGAGGTTAAGTATTAAAATACCAAATTTTGTTTAAATATGTTTAGTAGTTTGCAAGAAATTTCTTGATTACTGCGAATTTAAGCACGTATTGTTGTTTAAATCACGAATGAAACTCGCGAACGAAGGCACAATCGAAAAAAAATTTAACGAGCTAAACATCACCGTTCGGTAGTTAGGACTGTAAATTCAAAATTTCATTCGAATCTGTTCAGTAATTTGCAAGAAATTCCTTGATCACTGTGAA